TTCAGGCAGATCGTGCAATATATGATGTTCTTAAAAGGTGATATATCATCTCTTCAACATTATTCAACACTATTCACTGTCCATTTGTATTTTTTTTTATCATACTTTACCATTTATCAATATCCTTACTTAACTTTTTCACTCTGTAAAGATTTGTGCTGTCCAGCATTTTAATAGCAAATGCAATATATCATTCAGACTCACATATCCTGTGAAATTACTAAAATAGCAAAGTTGAACACAGAAGTGTTTCAGGCATGCTGAGATTTGTATAAAACCCCTTGTGATTCTCATACAGCTTGTGACCATTTCATTGGAGAATCGTGCACTCGGTTTAAGGAAGAGAATTGCATATTTAATATAAAATATATTTTTCTAAACTCTTAAGGGATGTTGGTCCTTCTGCTAAGTAAATCTAGGCTTCCAAGAATTGTTATACAACTATTTAGCTTTGTATTCTTCCAGGTGATCATGTTATTTCTGTTTCTTAGAATAATTCTAAAGGTTAAATATTAACTATTTAAAACTTTATACTATATATAATTCAAATGTTTTATCATGCGTTTTCTTACACTTTGCGCTTGCTTGATTTCTGCTCAACTATAAAATATTGCACGACAACTATAATGAATTACAATATAGCTAACCATCTCAGTATCAGATAAACTTAAAGCTAGACTTAGATATTTGCTTTAGTACAAACTGAATGAGGTCTCATCGGGTGATCAGATGAATTGCCGAGCTCCGAGTTGAAACGTACATAAATCACAAACCAATCGAAAAGTGCAATTTTTTTGCATTTTGTAAGTGGCACAAAAAAAGACGATTGGTAGGAAAAAAAGACGATTGATGGCTAGGGGACAGTCACAAAAGGGATGGGAAAATGCTCCTATCAGTGTGCTGCAAAATATATTCATAATATTATATTATCTATATATTTTTCAGTATACAAATTGGGCTATTTTCTCACCTGTTTGGTTCAAATGATTTGGTTCCCCAATCAGAGATTTAGTACTGAAATTCTGCTGATCAAAAACTAGCTTATGGTTGAAATTCAATAATTCTAATAAAAGGTTCTGTCTTCTGGAAAAATTGTTCTGCCAAGCTGTATTTTCTTGCTGTGTATAAGCCTTCTCACTAAGTCCAATACCAAGTCCTCAAATAAATACTGCACACATAATTTAGCACAGATTTATCCTTGCATTATATGGGGTAAATGAGCAACAAATAGGTGCACATAGCAACTTGAAAACTTCCGTGGGAACATTTTAAATAAACAATATTAGCTTGATTTAATAGTCAGATTTGAATCCGAAAGTGATGTATCTGAAAAGTAATGCAGTTTTGCTAGTAAATAACTGAAAAAAAACTCCCTACAAGTGAAAGTATTTAACCAAACTCTATGTGAAGCAAAAAGCTCAGTTGGCATTAGCTATCTGCTCAGAGAATAGTTATATTTTTTTATGTACATCCTAGAGTTCACATGAAAATAGGAAAGCTGATTCAAAGACAGTAAAACACACATTGCCTAGGGACACTGACCCTTTCAGAGCCACAGAGGAGATCAGCATGACACACTATCCTGTGCTGTTGAAAAGGATATAAAACATGTCAAAAGATATATCTTATTTTTGTCTTCTTAAAGGGAAATGGAACATGTAAAAAAATCATCTTTTGAAACACAAGTCCAAAATAAAATTCACTATAATATGCTGCAAAATAATTACATAAAGGAATATTATAGGGTGAGGAACACAAACATGTATTCCTGACCATATAGTGTTTAACCCACCATTTAGGTTGCTTGCCCCCACTTAGCCCCCTGAAAAGTTATTAAAACTCACCTTATTTCCAGCACTGCACGGGTCTGCTGGTGCTAGCTGTGCCCCCTTAGTGGCATCATCAGAATTGCAGATTTTTTGCCAATCCAATGCTTTCCCATGGGGAAAACATAGGATTGGTTAAAATCGGAAAAAGGGCGGGGCCAAACACAGTTTTGGCCAATCAGCACCTCCTCATAGAGATGCATTGAAACAATGCATCTCTATGAGGAAAATTCAGGGACCCCATGCAAAGGCATCCTTCAAGGGGTGTTTATTGGAATAAGTTATCCCACTCTCTAGCCTTTCCATCTCTAAGTCTTAAAGTAATGTCCTCAGTTTTTTGTTTCTTTTTTTTTTCCTATATCTACATTACTTTTGACTTATTTCTCATCTATATTTTCATCTGCCATTTCTGTAGCCCTTGGGTGTGCTTTGATACATTGAACACTCTTATTTAATAGTGATTTGACTTTTTGGTAGAAGTTTTAGCTAAATTATTAAAAGTTGAGTTTCATCTCTATTCCTTGGTTTCTCTTTTACCCCATAAATTAATATTGATAGGGAGTTACCCCCAAGCCCCCATTTGGAACAAATTTCCATATCCTTAGATAGTCATATAGCACTGAACTAGGCTGTGTGATGTTTCTTACTGGGGTTTAGGTCCAGAAGCTATGTTATATTTATATAATTTCCTGATATAATCATATGATACATCTTCACCTAAGTAATTTGTCACATTTTCTACTGCTGATGTGATCATATGTTCCAGATTAACTTAAAGAGTATTTTGGTCTGGGAATGTTTACCGTTATATAGTGAATTTGCAGATGTGACTGGTTTCAAGCTATCTGCCCAAGTCTAATCAGTGTTTTAATCACAGAACTGAGCATACATCAAATGACTATTAGGGTCATTCACTAAGTTAACAATTCAAAGTGGTATAGCTGAGGCACATCCAAGGTATGTGATTATCAGATTTGCTATGTATGGGGTTAAACAAAAAAATCATGGAAGCTGCAAGATCATTGGGACATAATGACTAGAGGCTTAAAACTTGTATTTCTTTAAGGACTTCTCATATAACACACGCCAGGGAAGAAGATAATTTAAAACAGCATTGGACAGACTGAAAGAAAAACAAATTAAGTATTGGTGGGGATTTCCCCTGAAATTGTGCATTAGAGACAATGAAGTAATAAGTACTTTTGATAAAATTAAGCAAGCTCTAGAGTGGCTAGATAAGGCAGAGTAGTACAGTTTTCTTGGTGGTAGGAAGGGAAGGAAGCATGGAGGACAGGGTGGATTGAGAGGGAGGTATGAGAGGGACAAGAGTAGTGAAAAATCCCAGATAGCAAGGATAACTTGCCACAAATGTGTGGAAGACTTAAACTGTAAGTCTGTTTAACTTGCTTCACATTTTCACTGGCAAGTGATTCACCAGCAGCTCAAGTTCTAGTTGACACTTTTTAAATTTGTAGCACATTTGCTTGGCAAGTCACGAGCAAGACCAAAATTGCAGTGGCAAGTCTACAGCAAGAGCACTGCAAGTCTCTAGTAAGAGCAAAATTGCTGTGACAAGTCTACAGCAAGAGACCTGCAAGTCTACAGCAAGAGCCCTGCAAGTCTACAGCAAAAGCCCTGCGAGTCTACAGCAAGAGCAAAGTTACTGTGGCAAGTCTACAGCAAGAGCCCTGCAAGTCTACAGCAAGAGCCTTGCGAGTCTACAGCAAGTGCCCTACAAGTCTACAGCAAGAGCAAAGTTGCAGTGGCAAGTTTACAGCAAGAGCCCTGCAAGTTTTTATAGGGTCTATACACTAAAAAGTAAATAGGCAAGGAGAATTACAAAATCTAACCAAATATATGTCTAAACTTAAAAACCATTCACATTCAAATATTTATAGTTCAGTTATTTCAGCCTAGATTATTCCAGCTCACCTCACTTCACTTTTTAGTGAATAGCAACCTCATGTAAATTGTATTTACAAATTTACTTTAAGACAGTAAGTTTACTTTTGTGAATGTCATATTTTTAAAAGTTTTAATTTCATACATTACCTGATTATTACTTGACAATTATTTAAGTTTATTACACTAATATCCCAGGTATAATAGTACAGTTATTTGCCTTAGGTATTGTTATATACGTATGTATTATCTTTGGTAATATATTTATTTGCAAATAAAAAATATGATTAACATTTAAAATATATTTTTATGTTTTTAGCAAAAACTGATTATTTTATATCTTTAACAACATTAATTTAACAATGTCTTAATTATCCATCTATTTATTAGTTACAGCATAAGAATAAAATATATTTTATACAATTGTGCACGTTGCATGTAAATCTGAAAATCAAATGCAAATTTTATGCCATGGATAAATTAATCTTACTTTTGTTAAATGTGGAAAAAACTACAAACCTCAATAGTGCATTAAGAAAAATGTGATCAACATAAAAATATTAATTAAAATATTTTAATAAGATCAATACATAACAAAGCATTACATCTTACAAACAGTTACATTTTTATTAGGTTGAACGTTTGCCAAACATGTAAAAGAACATTTACCAAAACATTACTAAACATATAACTACAACGATAACAGTCAAAGAATAATTAAATTTTTCAAGACAAACAAAATATATAATCGGCATCTGTTCTATGGGCTTGGATCTGGAGCTGGCCTGTGAAAATAAAAACAGCAACAATTATTAGTAAACATCGAAATATAATTTCTAGAGATAAACAGTACTAACTATATGATAAACAGACATATATCCATATGTAATGAAATAACATGCCTTTAGAGATAACCTCTCACTTCAGAATTATATTCAATCGAGGATTAAATACCAATATTCCAATTGTCAACAAATAAGAACCGTATTTCATAGGTCTTTTGCATTCTGAAAATTATCTATCTTTAATACTAAAAAAATATATCAACTAATAAAGAATCTGAAAACACTTCAACCTAATGTTGCACTAAAATAACTGCTCACTTAAATTAATGTACACATCATTGACGTATTCCAATAAATCATACAACTCATAAGGTTTTAAATATACAACTGTGTTAAAGAAGCACATTGAGTCCAACTTTAAAGGGATACACCTCAACTTAAGAGCTTACCAGTTTGTTTTTCATAGATTTGCTTGTTTTCAAAGCATCTACCAATTTAGTCCAAAGTAGTCCAAAGACTTCAGGGCCAGAAGACTAAAAATTGATGTGTCATCTTCTTCTGCTATAGGTACATGTATTTGTGCTATGGCTTCCAATCTTTCCTCTATTTTTTCAAGTCTTCCAGTTATGTCTGCCATCCACTGCAGAACAGCTGCCAATTTTCTATTCTCTCTTGCAGGAGCTAAAAATAAAAAAGAAAGGAATCAGTAAGATTCAGACATATTACCGAGAGCAACTTTAAATGCCCTGTTGTAATTATTGAGCACTCTTCATTTGACCATGTCAGAAAGTGACAACTAAACTATGGTTTCCTCTTTTTATTCAGCATACAAATTATGCAAACTACCTCAAATTTCTACTTCTTCAACACAAAATTGTTGGTGAAGGCTTAAGATTAATCTAAGAGGTTTTTTTTAGGTTTAGCCTTAGATCAAGGTAAAACAATGTACAGCAAGCATATTGGGACCAAATGAAGAGTACATGGTCTTTTGCAAGCAGTGTGGAAATGAAGCAGACAATATAATTTATGTAAAATACTTAATAAAACATGAACACAATAAAAAAAATATACATTGCTAACAAAAATAGAAGAAAAAATATCTGTTATACAAACCTGAATAATGGGAAATGTGCTGCAAGTCTTCTTGAATGGAAGAATGGTGTGTAGCTCTACTAGATGCAGCAGAATCGAAAGGAATTATAGTTGGAGGACTTTGAGTGTAAGAGGTTTTTGAAGAATGCAGAGATTTTGTAACAGACGACTCATGTTGGAAAGGTGTAAAGCAGGATTTAGAAATATCTGTTAAAGTGTGTGTAAGAGGTGCATTATTAGAGGGGCAATGTGTAACTGAAACAAGCTGGGCTGTGTAGCGGAGATGCAATATTACCCAGGGTATCTCCGCTTATAATCCAAGTGGGACTCAGGAACAAGTAAATAGTAAATCCACAGGCAAGGTTTACAGCAGGTAAAATACAGCAATATCCCAACAGCAATCCCAATAACTGGACGACACACAGTTTCAGGAGCATAACTCACAAGCCTTTAATCACAGTCTCCTTATAAAGCATGCTCCCATGCAAGGGAGGGATTTACAGTAATTACAGTAGCCAATCCTGTCCTGGTAACCTCCCACCCATCTCCTCCCCTCAGCTAGCATCATAATCCCCTTATCCAGCACACCAATTCCCCCCGTTTCTGGATGTACCCCTAAACGTAGGGGTACCTCTTTAAATCCTACATCCCCGGATACCCCTGATCTGGGTGAACAACATATCCAAAAATCACCCAGATCAGACCAGGGGTTCGGGAAATGTATGGAGGGAATAAAATGACCGACCGCACTAACTGAGATAGCCGAATAAGGTTCCATGCGAATGGGCCCTGCGGTCGGTCCTGGCATAAGGGAACAAAATACACGAAAGCCTCTAGCTATAGAGGCTAGGGAGGGTTCGCCTGAATCCCCTCGTTCGGTATTTTCTATCTACCGAACGAGGGGCCGTTCGGTAGTTTGGAACCGAACGGACCAGGGCTGTGGAGGTCTCAGCGGTGTTCGCCTACTCGAGTGTCCGATTTTAGTTCCAGACACTCGACGGCAAAACACCGCTGTTCGGGAGTTTTAAAATGGCCGCTGCCGCGTGTTCGTTTGTCGAATGGCGGCCACCCCCGAGAACAAAGGACGGCTACTTACTATTCAATTACCCATTCGCAACAATGTTGCAATGGGTAATTGAGGACACACTTCACACAGGGGAGGTCTGGTTGTTCGGTAGTTTCATTCGAATAAACTAAGGGAATGAAACTATCGAACAACCAGAGGAATACAATTCTTTTTAATACATAGAAAATACAGCAGATACAGGAATGCAGGTAAAAACAGTATATTTGTAGGGTCGCCTGGTGCTAACCGCTACAGGCTGATTGGGGGAAGTTAGTTGGTGAAGAAACATATGGAACATTAGAAAAAATTGCTGAGGAAGGAAAAGGTAAATGTGAGAATAAAGGAGAAGATGCAGCAACTGGTACATGAAAGGACTCAGGCTGAGGGAAAGGTGGTAGCACAGATGATCGTTGTTGTACGGATGGACACCTTGTTACACGGTTTTGTATTTCTGTTTCTGCTATGTCAGATCCTTCATCACCAGCCTTTTCTCCAGGAAGCAATACAGTTGCTTTCTTGATTTTCCTTCGAGGTATTTTCTTCTTGAGGTCAGGTTCAGGGTCCAAGCCTGAGGTTTCTTCTGCTTTTTTAAGATTACTTCTGGCCAAAGCAAATGTAGCTGGAAACACACAAAGACAAAGAAAATACATATTAAATATATATATACACACACACACACACACACACACACACACAAAAGACGTATACTGTAGGACAAATAAACTAGAAGAAAATGACTAGCAGGTTTATTGTATTACTATACAAAAGAGTAGATACTCACAATAACATGCACTTTGCAGATTACCCACTTGTATGCTTTGTTCTGTGGACTCACGTCATCCTTAATGAGGCGTTCTCTCATTTGGTCAGTTTTAGACTCTGGATAGTAACATGTAGCGTAATCAGCCGCCAGCCATGAAAGAATAATGTCTAGAGCATCATCTTCATCTATAAATTTGACGATTGCAAATGTATTTGCTTCTGCCATATACAACTTTCACAGAAAAGATTATAACTCACTCTTATGAAAAAAAATAAGATAAAGTATACACAAAATAAATGATGAAAGTCATATTATATAGTATGTACCCTTGCCTTCATTAAAAATGCATTTAAGAAATTAATGAAATTACATAAACTGGATAGATTAATAAAACCTGCAGATTAGCCACTTCCATGCCATGTAATGGAAGGGGTTAATGCCCCCAGAGTGTCAGGTGTGTATTTTAAACACAGGACAACCCCTTGATTGAAATGCGTCCTTCCATGTTTCCCGCCCCACCAGCCGTGTTGATTCTTAATGAGGTGAAGGATCTCTTCCCTTCACCTCAGCCGGACGGCTGGAGACCATACAGTGCAGCCTTATTGCGGCCAAAGGCAGGCGATATACTGCTTAAATAGCAGTACTGAGCCTTAGTCAACCTCACCTCTGATACGGTTTAAGATCCTTTCGCCTGCCATTTGGCTGCCAGTACAGCTACCTTCGTTCCTTAGTGAATTACCCTGTAAATATATTTAATTTTGTTAATAAGTAGCTAAATAGTGCTTAAATGTGGCACAAAACAGAAAACAAATACAAAGATTAACAGAACGTATGCATAGTGCAATGTCTCAAAAGACCTTACACCCACAAGGTAGAGGGGCCTACTCTAAATGTAAGAGAGAATAGACAACAGAGACACCGTCAAGATATAGTAGCATCAACTTTTCAGTTACATGTGCAACTTTACTTAAAATAAGTCTACTATCTAACTCACTAACTTTACAGATTCCTAAGTAAATGCTGTTGCAAAAGCCCTCTTCATAGAAATTTTCTACTTATTTGAATTTGTGTCCAATTATGCACATTACATGAGAAAATGAATGGATAATATTTTCTATAATAACAATTGATCCATCAGTTATTCTGCAGCAATGGTTAGGTTGTGAGGTTGTCATTTTCATACCGCTCACTTTTATACATCTGTATTGTTCACCTGTATCTAAACAATTCAATACTGGACCCGATGTATGCAGTGAAGTGTAAGTGGCCTCAAAGCCCATGATGGCATACCATTTGCAAAAGTAGACAACCCAAGGTATTGCAAATGGGGTATGTTCAGTCTTTTTTAGTAGCCACTTAGTCACAAACACTGGCCAAAATTGGTGTTCAAATTACACACAAAAAAAATATTAACGCTAAATCCCTATTTCTCCTGAATAAAATGATAAATAATAAGTTTGGGTGCACTTAACATGAAAGAGGTGAAGTACGGTTGAACAGACATATAGTCAAATTCCAAGTTTTGTTTACGTTTTATTTTGATTAAATCATGTGCATTTGGCTCAGTTCTTAAGGGGTTAATGCTTCAAAGGTAAATATTGCCGTTTTTAATAAAACGTGATTTGTTTTAGTGAGCTATTCCAGTTGTTAATGTCATTTAATGGGAATTTTTAGATACCAAGGGTTTGTTAGGTGTACACATAAAGTTAAAAAGAGTGAAAGTTTTAAAACAAACATTTTATTTATGAATTTATTTTAAGAAGTATAGGTGACTGCTTTGCAGCTTATTCAGTTATAGAGCTACTGAATAAGACAGGTTTCTCAGAAGGATTGCATGTTAAGCAAAATCTCAGCATATAAATGAGGAAAACTTAAATATTGCAAACTGTGCTACACCAATGAAATATTATGTTTAGTTACTCCTTTATTTCTATCCTCCCTGAACTCTATATCAGAACTCATAGTTCCCACTCATCTCTCTTCACACAACCTCCAAAGTGATTATAAAATGGCTGCCAGCACCATAGAAGGAAAAGCTTACACACAGCAATGAGATGGAATTTCAGCCCCTCACACTGACCTCTGTGGTGGGATGTACATATTGCACACAACATTCTAACCACTTGTAGCAGACTTGCAGCAAATTTGCAAAGCAATTTGATCTGGAGACTTGCAATGCAGACTTCAAGCAAATGTGCAACAACTTGTGAAGCTTGGCACGTCAAGCAATAGCATAGCAAGTCATTTTCAAACTTGCAGCTCAATGGATTGCTATCTGGGATGAAAATTGATTTTAATTTTTTATTTTTTTCTGGAGGTGGAAGGAAGGAAAGGGGAAGAGAGGGAAATATTCTCCCATTTTTAAAAAAAATATTTGCCACACCACTTTTTTTTGACTCTGTAACGATGAATATTCAATAACTGGAAACTTTGTGAATACTAAATTGTTAACAAAATCCTCCTTCCAGTTTGTTTCTTGAATTAGGCCCACCTCAATTTTATTTTTAACCATCCATTAAAGTAATTCATTTCTGGGGAAGATTTAAGTCTTGGGCATTCAGTGTCATAATTCTAGTCACCATTCTACCATAGAGCTGCCATTACCTTGCCTAGCCCCCAATATTTTATTATCCAGTCTTCAGACCAAATTCCAGCCAAGTCAGGACACTGAACCAGACAAAAACCACATAAAACATATAAAACTCAGGAATAATTTTCCTGACCCTCATCCCCCTAGTGTGCATAACACCTTCCCCTGTGGAATGCGTGTTTTGAGGTTAGGTCCTAAAGTGGTGCTAAAAATTGTGCCTAAAATTCCCAGTAAACTATCCTAAAAGTTAGAGAACATCTAAAATTAAATTTATATAAAAATAAATAAATGGAGACAAGATAAAGAGCAAGGAAGAGAAGAGGGGAAATAAAAAAAAATTGTTTTTCCTTTCTCACTCCATTTTACCATTATATGACATTATTCTTTTGCCATTAAATCTATACATTAGAAGTAGGAATACTGTGACTACCTTCCCATCAAATTCCCTATTACCTACTATCTGTTTTCTCTTAGTTCCTACAAAAAGCAAATTAATTTCACCTCTGTTTGAAAAATAAACTAACAAAAAAACTATTCAAAGTGGATTGAATTGAATTTCACATTTAAAGGGACAGTATAGGTAATCAGACCAGTTCATATCACTGAAATGGCCTGAGTGCAGTACCCCTGTCTGTGTAACCATGGAATATAAAATATTGCAGTCTATCTATAGTAACTGTCTTCCAAAGAGTACTAGAAGCTTTTCCTGATCTCTAACAGAGTTTTACTCTGTGAAACAATGTTTGATGTCCTCACGCTTTGCATTGATTCAAAGCTTTCCTGTGGGGAAGTTTGAGTGAAAATCAACGCTCATGTGCATTCGGTCCCAACATCACAATGACTGGAATTAAAGTAAGGAAGGGTTCTTAACCCTTTACTTGTCAAATGGTAAGGGGGACATAATAAGTTAGACAGGACACTATAGTGTTAGGAATACAGGTTTTTATTTCTAATGTTATATTGTTCTTTTAAGGCAAAAGTAGCTCAAATTGAAACATGATTGAGTTAAAGAATTTTTCCAGTTTGCTGTTTTGACTTTCAATTTGCAATTCATTTTGATTTCTCACTTTAGTGGGGGTGGGGGAAAACTGTCACCTTCTTGATCTCCTTCCATCAATTATATGGTCCAGAACTGGTCAACTGATAAGAAATCTTCACTTTAGGACAAGAGAGATTTATTGTGTGCAAAATAACTTAAAACAAAAATCATAAAATATGTCCAACCCATTTCCTCCACCTTCCTGAACTTCCTCAGGGACACAATGAAATATAATGAATAAAAATGTGCAACAAACACCCTTGGGTAAAATTGTAGTCTAGGTATGCTGCATTTTCACCTAAGGGTGTTTGTGTGTTGCACATTTTATATATAGAAACTAATACTTAAAAATTCTAGATGTATTCATTTTTATCTGGCCATACAAATGATGACTATACATATATGTGTGACTTTCTCTGTATATGTATATATATATATATATATATATATATAGAGAGAGAGAGAGAGAGAGAGAGAGAGAGAGAGAGAGAGAGAGAGAGAGAGAGAGAGAACTTTTCTTTCACATGTAAAATATTTAAATTCCTATTGAAAGAGAAACATACATATCTCTATGTCAGTAGTAATAGTTTATGATCTGAGATAGAAAGTCCTTTTCTCATATCATTATCTGTGATATCTAAGATCTCAAAGAGAAAATTATACATAATAGTGCAATCTGTTATGCTGATACATTGTCACAAACAAGAGTTTCAATTACATGATCCAGAACATATGGTATGCAACACACATATGCTATATGTTTACCTTTGACTAGAGTTTAAAGGGATGCCTTATATCAAAAAGTGCAGCAATATTGTATCAGCAGCACTACGTACTTAATAATTACACTTCTAAATTCAGTTATTGTAGTATATGAAACCTGTGCAGTTCTTCGTGTAAATAGTGGAAATGTCACATATTGCCATTATAAATCCTCTGAATGCTGCTGACATGGGTTTTATGTTTTTATTTATTTATTTATTATAATTGTAGATACTATTTACAATATTTTTTTTATTGATAGAACTCAATTTGTGATTTAGGTCATCTTAAAGTCATTTAACAGTCATGTTACACATTATACATTAGCACTCAGGAGCCTAACGATAAGATAAAAGGTCACCTAAACAACATTGATGTATTTTTTTCACACAGACCACTTCATCTCAATGATATACAGGTTTGTATTACTAACGCTATAGTGTTCCTTTAACCCCTTACGGACAGAGCCAAATGTACATGTTGTGAACGAAACAAAATGTAAACAAAACCTGGCATTTGCGCTACATGTCTGTCCAACCGTAATTCCCCTCTTTCATAGTAAATGCACCCACCCTTATTATATATCATTTTATTCAGATGAAACAGGGCTTTCATTTAATATCAAATATTTAGCTATAAAACATAATTTAATATGAAAAAAATGGGAGGAAAGATTTTTTTTATTTTTTTAGTTCTACATGACATTTTAACTGTCAATGTCATAATACTGTTTGCTTTTATTGCAATAAAATACACATATTTCTATTCAGCAAAGTCTCATGTGTAAAACGGTACCCCCTATGTACAGGTTTTATGGCGTTTTGGGAAGTTACA